GAGGGTACATACACGTCCAGAGGGCACAATATCATTCCCTCAAAATCACGCCTTCTGCTCTAATTCTGACTCCTCCGCTGGCCTGGGCTAGATGGGATGCATGCATACATTCATTCATTCATTCATTCATCGAGGCTTTAGTATGTTCAAAGCCCTTCACCATGTCCTTCGCCTTAATACGGACAATTCTATGACATGGGCATTATTAACCCCTCTTTACAGATGAGGACAGTGAGGCTCCAAGAAGCCAAAAATGATCTCCCTGAGCTCACACAGCTACATGTGATTTGGTCCCAATGTGTCCTCCTGGGCCACGCTGGCCCCTCTCATAATGGAGTCCCGCCCCCAGCCCCCGCCAAGCGCAGCACCTTGCTTCACTCGTGCGCAGCACATACCACCGTCCAAGAGCATCTTCCTTCTCCTTTGCTTTTTTTATTGTTGTTCTCTCTCTTCCCAGTGAAAACCTAAGTTTACTTTTCTGTTCAATGACCACAGTTATTTCGAATCCCTGGAGAGGTGGCAGGTGCACAGCAGGGGTGCAGAGCAAAGCTAGGGAGTGAATGAATGAAATGGGAAGCCAGGTTTCCAGCAGCGTTCTGCCTGTCTCAAAACCCACACTTTCAGGACCCGGGGCTGGTTGACAGTCACCCCTTCCCCCAGGGCCTGCCTCCATGGTCCCTCCCAACTTTTCCCTTTGGGGACAGCTTCTCAGGAAGACTTCCTCGGCCCCCAGGGACCACCCACATCATGGTGGCTAGCAGATGCATTCAGCAAGTCAGCCTCCTCCACCCTCTTCTGTGACCAGGTGGCTTGTGGGAGAGCTGAGCGGCTGGGGAGGTGGGGGTGGGTGGCCAGCCCAGCCCACTGGCTGCCTCTCCTAGGGACCCACAGCACCCACACACCCAACTTTTAAAGCCCAGCCGGACTCTGGAAAGGTGAGTTTCCCCAGACCCCCCTCTTGGGCCTCTCTCTGGGCACGGTGTCTCCCACCCCCCTGGGCCTTGAGGGAAACCTCCCCTGTGGGCCTCTCCCTGCTTCCCATCATGCTCTGGTTCACAGCGTGCTCAGGAACAGAGCCACCCGTGGTTCCTGGAAGCCAGCAGAGGGATGCTGATGCTTTCTTTCTGCTCTATGAAGGCTGGGAAAGGCACGGGGAGAGCCCCAGAGTGCGGCCATCCCAGGGGCCTGTGAGCTGGGTCTGGCTTGCTTTCTGAGCCAAGGACTTCTCTTCCAGGCTCCCTGTCAGCGCCCATGACAGATACTCACCTGGACCTCCCACCCTGCCCCCCAACGGAACCAAGAGAGACCAAGTCCAAGGCACATTGTCCCCGTGACTGATACGGCAATGATCATTCATGAAAATCCACCCCTTGTCCACAGCAGGGCCACTTCCCTCCCAGCCCCTCCTGGAAGGGTCTCCAAGACCACCGTAACTTCATCCCTCACAACAGCCACAGTATTCACCCCTGGCATGCACACGGGGCTGCCTGGGAGAGGCTTGCTCAGTAGCACTTATAACCACACACTCTAAGTGCCTGTCCTGCACTTTGTCCTGTATCTCCAGGGCAGAGTTCAGGCCCGACATATAACAGGTGCTCTGAAAACATGGCTGCTGAGTCAGTCTTGCAGAAAGGGTCCTGGCAACAGTGAAGAGAGGGGTTTGTCCGCAGTCCCAGTACTTCCGGGCTGTGTAACTAACCATGGGCAGGTCCCTGTCCCTCTCTGAGCTTCAGTTCTCTCATCTGTATAGTGGAGATCAGAACTTGCAAACTACTGGCCCAGAGGTCCCATCTACATTGTGGATGTGTTGTTTATGGCCCATTCAGTGTTTAATTTTATTTTAAAATTCATTCCCAACATTTTAAAATAGGGAGATTTCCATAAAACCTAAGGTTTTCAGCTTTTGTTGAAAAATGAGAAGATCTGGCTATACTGGGCCCCTAGTCTCACATATACAACTGGCTGGCCTGGGCAGCAGCTACCCCTTTAACAGGGGTGTTTTGACACAGCGCTGCCTCCCCTCACTCCCTAGAGCCTTGCCCAGTATGCTTCACTTGTATATGTCACTGCCTGGCCCCCATAGGCATCTGAATTTGTCACCCCTGAATATCAGCATGACCTGTCTATTCTTTGGCTCTATGATACCTAAAGGAATCCTACGGGATCCCCAGGTGACAAAAACCATTAACACCCTGGATGAGAAGCCACTTCAGCTGAGAGGAGCGAAACTGCTGTTTCTAAGGATGACACAGAGTCTATAAATAGCCTCAGAGCCAGGTGAGTGCTGACACCTGCCCAATCTCACCTGGGCCGGGAGTCCTCGAGGGCTGGGCATGTTTCCGTTCAGAGCTCAGCCCAGGGACTGTCCCTCCTCCTGATGCCACTGAGGACAGACAGTACAAGTAGGGATGACTTCACAGCTCAGCCTCTCCGGCTTGGGCAAGAGGTAGTGATGACATTTGATTTTCCAAAGAGGGTAGGAGTAACATGAGTGAATGAGGCCAGTTCTCAGTCTGGGGTCCTGGGGATGGGGGTACTGCTCCATCAATGGCTCCCCGGTGCTATCCAATAATGTTAGACCTCAGCCTGGCCTTCAGGACCCTCTGTGATTGCCCCCTACCCACACCCCAGCCTTTCAGCTTATGGTCAACATTGCAGCCTTTCCTTGAAGGTACCCTGGCCTGCCTCTGGCTTATTCCCCCCCTGAAATCTCCTCTCCACATCTTTGTGTCTCTGCCCCTCAAATGTGGTTGTGTCTAGGCTGATCCTCCAGGCAGAAACCATCTTCCCTGTCCCAGTCCCACAGCCTCCTCTGGCTAACTCCTCAGCTTCTCTCTTGCTGTGTTGTCTGTCCCCGGCTTGTCTCTCTTGCCCTCCCCACCCCATTCCAAGCTCCATGATGGCAGCGGGAAGGGTCTGGCCTCTGCAGGACTCCCTGGCCCTGGAGTCAGACAGAGTCCTCCCAGCTCCAACACTCTAGCCCTGGGCAACTCACTCACCCGTCTCTTAGGGCTTTCCTTCCCCATCTGCAAAATGGAACTGCCTCCCAGGCTATGGGGGGAAACAGACACACTAAGGACTGGGGAAGGGCTCTGAGAACTAAAGGGGTTGAGTGAATAAAGGCAGCTCTTCCCTGGGTTAGGGCTGCTCAGGCTTCGCTGGGGTGGGGGATACATGGAGGCCCCCAGGAGCAGGCTTGAAGGACAACAGGGCACCACTAATCCACCTGGCGTAGCGAAGGGCTGTGTGAGCTGAGGACCCGGAACTGACATGGGGGGTTATTCCTCTCTTCCTCTTTCAAATCTACAGTATTCACTGATGCGGGGGGATCTGGGAGACTGCTCAGGGCCCAGATGGGGCAGGGAGCATGCCAGCTCCCCACTCAGGCCCGTTCTACTCAGGGCACAAAATCATGAGAAAGGAGGAGACATTCCCCAGGACACAGTGAGGCTCCCTCCTGGGCTGGACCCTGGGGAGCCTCTGGGCTCCAGGATACAGCTGGAGCATCACTGAGTGACCAGGCTTCTCCTGGGCCAGGAATAGAGAAGGGGACTGTAAACTCCCAGAAAAGGGGCAAGCCAGAATTCTAATTCTGCGAGCCTAGGACACGCTGACCTCATGAATTTACTCGGGTCAGCATTTTGCTATCTGACCCCTTCCCAGGAGCTGATTCAGGTCTCAGCTCAAGCCCACTTGACTCCAAGGTTCAGCCCATACCCTCTTCTTGAGCCCCTTGGACCTCTGAGGCCCTGCAGCTGAGACCCACTGCTGTCTGAGCCCTAGACCTGAAGCAAAGACAGTCTAGACCCCATCCATCACCGACACTCATAGCACAGTGCTTAACAGTTGACACACGCCTCTCTCTCTTGTTTATTTTACCCTTGAAACAGACCTGGGAAGAAGCAGGGTAAGGACTACCATCACATCCTTATTCTCCAGAGGGGAAACTGAGGCTCAGAGAGGTCTGAGAAGATTGGCGCAGGCTGGCAGTGGAAGATGCAGGGTGCTCCTAGCCCTGAGCAGTGCCTTCCTCACTCTGGGTCCTTGTTTCCCATCTGGAGATTGCAGGTGTTAGCTGAGATGCCCTGCCAGGGCCCCTATTATTTACTTACTGTGGACCCCCCACACCTACCACACTTCTATGAAGCCCCCCTCAACATGGGGGGTAAATCCTCCTCACCAGTGTTCTCAGTTCCCCTTCTCTTCCTGTCTTACCTTTTCACCCTTCCTTGCATTCCCTATGGAATGGCCCTTGTACTGTTTCCTGCAGGTACATTCTTGGGGTGACTGCTGTGGGAGGGGAGCCAGCAGTCAGTTGACCCCGTTGCTGGGGACCAGGCCTGTTAGTCTATGGGGTTGGGGAAGGGGCATCGGACCCAACCCTGGTGGAGGGCTGGGGCCTGGCCAGAGCCTGCTGGGCACCTGCTGAGTTCCAGGAGTGTGGGAAGAGGATCTGGTGTCCAGAAGCATCTGGAGAAAGGGCCAGACTGGGACTAGGAGGCCTGTGGTCAGCAGGGGGGTGGTCTCTGCCTGCATCCTCCTGCACCTCTCACTCTGATCCACCTCTCACCTCCACCTTCTTTGTCTCTCACCCACCGTCTCTCTTGGTCTCTCTGTCTGCAGGGCCTATGGGTGGAGGGGAGGCCTATACAGAGGGCTCAAACGTAAATTTTTGTTATATTCGAATAAAAACATATGGATGCTCATATTTTGGAGTTAACCACGTTTTAGCATATTTCCTTCTCTCTTTTTTTAATCTGGGACCCTTACAAAGTGGAACCGGCCCCCTTTAGCCAGGTCGTGTCTGTCCCTCAGGTCGCTAGACCTTGGGAAACCCATTGAAAGGAGCTCACGCTCTGTCGCCCCAGCCTCCTGGCTGCGCCTCCCGCCGGGGCCGCCAGGGGTCGCTCGCGAACAGGCCCGGAGGGGACGGGTGGGGGCGGGGCCTCGAGGCCGGCCCGGCCAATAAAGGCGGCGACGCGCGGCCGTGGCTGACTCTGGCCTCTGCGCGCAACTGTCGCTTCCGTCGTCTCCGCTCCTACCGCCGCTCTCCCGCCCCGACCTGCCCCCGCGATGCTGGCGCTGCGCTGCGGCCCTCGCCTGCTCGGCCTGCTCCCGGTCCCGCGCTCCGCGCCGCTGCGCCTCCCCGCGCTCCGCGCTTGCAGCACCAGCAGCGGCGGCGGCGGCTCCCGGGACTCGTCCTCCGCTTCCCGGAACCCGCTCGTGTACCTGGACGTGGGCGCCGACGGGCAGCCGCTCGGCCGCGTGGTGCTGGAGGTGAGCGCGCTGCACCCGGCCGTGCCGGACTGGGCGTGGGGGACGCGCCCGGCGCTGTGCGCGACTCGCTGGGTGACCTTGCTCCCGACACCTGGCCATGGGCCTCAGTTTCCCCATCACTAGAAGGGCGCATCAGATTGGTCTCTTCCGGTGTCCTCTCGGCACCTTGGAGGCGGGAAGGAGGGCAAGTGTGGAGGAGAAAGTTCAAGGTCAGGTCGTCGACTGTGAGAGCCCGGCCCTGCTGGCTGGCCCCGGGGTCGGGGAGAGGTCCTGAGACCTCGCGGGGTCAGCGCCCAGACCCGGAGCTCCGGGGCGGGTGTCGGGGTTCCCGGCAGCGGGCCGGCGGGGTGCGCTCACGCGGCGGCCCTTGCATAATGCAGAGCCAACCCGGCCCTGCCCCCTCGGTGGGCCTCACCCGCCTCCGGGCGCTGGGGCAGGAGCCAAGGTGGTTTCTGGCAGGCCAGCCGGCCTCCTCTCGTGCAGGGCCCCCCGGGCTGACCCGGGACGGCCCCCCTGCAAGTCGGGGCAGTGTCCCCGGGGCCCTTCACCCCAACTCCAACCGCCCCCCACGCTCCCGGACTCGCAAAGTAAGAAACAAATAGGGGGAACAAACGGGGTCGGGGGGAAGCTCAGGTGTAGCCCTCAAGCCGGAGGCCCTTTTGAACAGAGACCTCCGTTAGTCCTCCGTTTCCTCTTCTGGAAAATGGAGACCACCCTCCTTCTCCCTTTTATTTTAGTGGTTCCGCACCAGGGTGGCTCTTGAACCTTGGAGGCAAGAGGCCTGCTTGGATGGGGCTCTGGTCTCCCCTTACCCAGCCCCCACCCCACTCCCCTGCCTCTCTAAGCCTGTTTCCCCTCTGCGCATTGAGCTTGGACTGGCCTCTCTCCCGGCCCTGAGTCTCTGATGCTTGGGGCCCAGCTGTTGTAGCTCTGCCAGTTTTGCCCCTGGAAGTAGGCCAGGATGGCACTGTCCTCTCTTCCGATAGATAGGGAAACCGAGGCTGCCTCCTCCCAGCCTGGTTTCAGGAAACAACTAGCAGAGATGATAGCTCCCTAGGCTGCCTCTGGGAGCCACAGGCATGGAAGGGGCTCCTTGGCCGCTGTGGGGGTTGGGTGGTTGAGGAGGTTCCCTCCGTCACCTGCCTCTGGACTGACCATCTTCTCTTGTCCCTCTTCTCGCCCCACAGCTGAAGGCAGATGTCGTCCCAAAGACAGCAGGTAAGACGGGGCTTGGGGCCTTCTGAGTCTGGTCCAGATGGAGGACAGAGGGGCCAGGCCAGGTGGGTGGGTTGATGAGAGAAGTTGGGGCACAGAGGCCCGTGACCAGATGGGAATTCCACGTGAGGCTCAGCTGCTGGGTACCCTGGGCCAGCTTTCTGTCCCTCTCTGAGCCTCAGTGTTGGCCCTGCCCACCAGGCCAGTAGAGCCTTGGAATCAGTAGAAGCACATGTAAATTTCCACCAGGACCACTTCCTCCCCGCTGGTGCCCGATGGGGCGGTAGCTACATGGCCGAGGGACTCCCTGCCAGGAGCATGTGCTCTTGTCTCAGTGCTTGGACACTGGGACACCGAGCTGTAAGAAGGAGGTGACTTGCCCCGGGTCACACAGCCAGAGCAGACCTAGGGAGCGGGCCTGGGGTCTGTCCACCCCCTGTTCACTTCCTGGGGGGTAGAAGGGTGCTCGCTAGAATGAGCGGTGACCCCGCAGTTGCGGCCTGGCCCTGTTGACCTGCCTCTTCCTTCAACCCTCAGAGAACTTTAGAGCCCTGTGTACCGGGGAGAAGGGCTTCGGCTACAAAGGCTCTACCTTCCACAGAGTGATTCCATCCTTCATGTGTCAGGTATGGTGGCCCTGTCTGCCTCGGTTCCCCGTCTGTGAGGGGGGGTGATAACAGGGGCCACCTTGTAGGGTGGTTGTGAGGATTAATGAGATACCGAAGGGAGAGCGATGGATTACTCTGTGGGCCTGTCTTCTCACCCAGAGACAGTGGAGCGGGTTGGGCGGCCCTGGCCCTTGAGCAACAGGGCAGTGGCAGGATGGGCTGGCTGGCAGAGCCTGTCGGGGGGACCAGCATTGAGATCTGGACGTGCACGGGGGCGGGGAGTAGATCTTCAGGCTTTGGAGGACCAGCGTATTCATGGCAGTCTCTGACCAAGTCCCCCTGTATGTCCCACTGAGCACTTGGCACGCTTGGCATGGGAGATAGGGAGGGAGGGAGACAGCACCGACAAGAACGAACAGGTCTGGACTCGGAGCTTCTCCTTCTAGAGCGGGGCATCTTTCTTGGTTAAATGAATGTTCTTTAGTCTTGTGTGCTGCCTGTTTTTCAAAAACATCAGTAAGGCTGTGTCAGAAGTTTGGGGATAGATGTGGACAGCAGGAACTTCCCCAGGGGTCGAGACCCCAGCTGTGTGGGGGTCACCCTCTGTTAGGTTAGACCCTGCTAAGACAGGGGTTGGGGTCTTGAGGCCCACAGACCATAGAGGCAGGGGCATGAGTGTCATGACCTCTTTGAAGTCCTTCCAGCCCAGAATTCTCTCCCCCATTCCCTCCACTCCGACCTGGGGCTGTCATCCTATTGTGGTGAGTGGCAGTGGGTGGGGGCTGGGCCTGCTGACGTGTCGAATGTGGTGACTGCAGGGATGGGAAGGGAGGCTGTGGCCATGGGACAAGCCTGGCCAAGCCTGTGGCTTTCTGCCGCAGAGGCCCTCCCAGCTCTGCCCGAGGGAGGCTGTGGATGACGCAGGAGCTGGAGGGGCTGTCCTGAGCCAGGCTAGGGTCTTCCTCTGAGCAGCATCGGGCAGGGGCGGGTCCTTCCAAGGCTGGAGCGCTCTCTGAGGCATGAGTTGGCAGCACCGGGAGGCCCAGGCCAGGGTTTTGAATCATCCCTGTCTCGCGGCACCCTGCTGGCATTTGTGGGTGCTTAGGTCAGGCTGGTCGGGTCATCCCTGTCACCTGAGGATCATATCTCCATGAGACCTTGGCCAGGGGCTGCGGCTGGGGCTGACAGCCACTGGGCTCTTCTGGCCACTGCTCCCTTGGAAACCTCGGGCAAGCTGTGAGGAAGGATACCGGGCCTGGGGGGATTCCGTCCTGGGTCTGCAAGGCGTAGGGAGGCTACCGGGCCTGGCGAGGGGGGAGGTGCCCGGCAGGGAGTGGGGCTCAGCATAGGGAACTGGCTCTGTGCTGCTCCCCCGACAGACCAGACATGGGCACTGGGTCCCTCCCCTGGCCACCTCCCTGTCTCCCCTCCAAGAGTTGTGGGTAGAAAACTCTAGGTCACTACCTACGAATCATCTCAGAATGGCCATTAGATCCTTTGAGAATCATTTAAAAAACTTGCCCAGATTAAAAAAAAAAGTGAATCATGTGAACGGTAGGGTAGTTACTAATGGCAGAAAATATTGAAGCTTTATTTTTGCTTATTTTCCTTGTTATTTCATGAGTCCGGACAACCTTGGATGTTTTCTGACCCCTTGGCCTGCGGGGCTTCTGGCTGGGTGGGCCCCAGGTGGGTTGGGGGCCACCTCCCCGCGCCACGGCAGCCTCCCCCTGCCAGTTCTGGGGGGTGGCCGCTCAGAAGGTGCTCTGTGCTCACAGGCCGGCGACTTCACCAACCACAATGGCACCGGGGGCAAGTCCATCTATGGAAGCCGCTTTCCTGATGAGAACTTCACACTGAAGCACGTGGGACCAGGTGAGTGGGGGCCGCCGTTCCCCGGTCTGAATGCCCTGAGCTCGGCCCGGACACTGCCAGGCCCACCATACCCACCATGCCTGGGAGGCTGGGACCGATTGCCCCATATCCGGTGATGCTCCTTCCCTCCTTCAGCACTCCGGGTTGGAGTGTTAGTTTTCCTGGAGTTTTGTCATGCTGAGCTCTCCGTTTAAAAAACAAGCCTCCCTTTGAGACGCTGGGAGAGAAAGCCTTTCAGCAAAACCCAGCGTTGTGTCACGTTTAAGACCCAAGATGCAGAGTGCCAAAGTCCCGTTCTGGCCCTGCCATGGAGAGCTTCCACAAGGCCCTCTTGTCCCTGGGGCAGCACGGGTGGGCAGGCCCCGGGGAGCTGCTCATCCTCTTCAAGCTCCAAGACCGTCAGACCCCAGTGGCCTTGTTGTGGGGGGAGCGGCCGCTCTTGTCTGTAGCTTCCCAGTGAGGTGCCTCCTGGGTCAGCATGGCTTCCTCCTGCCTGTTTTTGCAGGTGTCCTGTCCATGGCAAACGCAGGCCCCAACACCAACGGCTCCCAGTTCTTCATCTGCACCATAAAGACAGACTGGTGAGTCCCCTGCCGCGGGCTGCAGGCCCGCTGGGCATGAGGGGTGGCCTGGCAGCCAGAGGAGGGTCTGTGTGCTTCTTGGGGAAGGTGGTGTGAGGCTGCCCTGCGCTCTGGGGCAGGAGCCCTCAGCTGGGCTGTGTGGCCATGTGGGAGAAGGACCAAGTTTGTAAAAGGACTGAGGGAGAATGTGGGTTGTTCTTACAATTGTGTCTATGTTAGGCTTCCATTTGCTGTCAGCTGGAATTTTCTCCATGTGTTGTGCAAAAGGACTTTCACCACATACGTTTGGGACATGCTGCAGAACCTGCCAGGCCTCAAGATGGCCTGTGGAGGCAGCCTATTTGCTTGGTTTAAACTGGTGTTTCCCGGCTTACCTCGAGCTTGGAACGCACCTTGGAGCTCTCTTGCCCACGTGCCTGTGGATCCCACCACCTAATAAGTTCCTCTGCCCACAGTCGCCTGTGTCCTAGCCCTGAGGCATATGGGCTTGAGGGGACAATAGCTGGCCAAGAGCCAATTCTTTAATAAAGCCCATTTCCTAGGACTTTAGGAGACCTGAGTGGTAGGTGGACACCAGCTGTCTCTGGCCCCCAAGCCGGAGGGGACAGACATGTCAGGGCGTGGGCAGGCCATTGGCTGGCTCCGCCTGTTCTGCGCTCCTTCCGCGGAACCCCCGGCAGGGCCTGCAGCGCTGCCCTTGGATGTAACCAGTGTTGACCTTGCTGCCACTGGACTAAGCTGCCTTTTGGATTCTTGGAACTCTCTCAAATGGAGAGCCGCGCTTGCTGTCTTGGCTCTTCCCTTGCCACTCATGACCATTAAGATGGTCCTATTTACACGGACCTCTTATTTCTTGAGAGTAGTTGGATACCCTGTTCACCCCCTGTGCGGAACAAGAATAATTCACTTTCCATAGCTGAGGTTACCAGGATCCAGGTGAAGTGGCCCGGGGGCAAGGTCACACGGCAGGGCAGGCAGCACGTGCCCCGGAAGGGAGGGACCCTCTGGTGTATTTGGGGGAGCTCCGCAAGCCTTGATACCGGAGCCGTAAGGGGTGGGTCCAGACTTTCAGAGTGAGTCCCTTCCAGAATCGCTGTCTCCGATAAATAGTTCCATGACCAGGTGACAATGACATTGGGTGGCATTGCACTACTCATATTCTTCCCTGGCTCAACTCACAGGTTGGATGGCAAGCATGTCGTGTTCGGCCATGTCAAAGAAGGCATGGATGTCGTGAAGAAAATCGAATCTTTCGGTTCCAGGAGTGGGAAGACGTCCAGGAAGATCGTCATCACAGACTGTGGCCAGTTGAGCTAACCGGCCTCGGCCACAGGGTGCTGGGCTGGTAGTGGCCGCCCACGTGGTGACACACCGAGGTGGCCACGTCGGACGCCAGCAACAGTGCCCCGTCCGGTTGCCTGTGTTCATGCCGCTGTCACTGTGTGCTGGAGGAAGGCCTCTGCGGAGCGTCCGCTCTCCACCGGGCCCGCCACGCTGCTTCCCCAGTGTCCGCCCCCCCTCACCGCCCCATTTCTGGACGAGTATCACGGACATGATGTCACCACTCCTCATCAGGCCTTCTCTGTGATCCCCCAGCCCAAGTTCACCCGTGCCTTGGACTTCGGGGGGGTGGTGATGGCTCAGCTTTGGGGACAGGTTTCTGCCTTTTCCTCGGCCGAGCGGGGAAAGCCAGCCGCCGCAAAAGGGCCATTATATCTGGGTAGTGACCTCTTCTAATTGGAATAATTTGACTAGCAAGATTGCCAAGAAATGAAGCTGTGACACTTAACTACTCCGTGCCATGGCAGGACCCCACTTGGTGGCCGAAGCCACAGAACCCCAGAGCCTGGCCTTTGGAACGTAGTTGGGGCTTTTGTGCACGGTCCTCGGCCACGGCATTTACCCCCGGCCACTGTGAATCCTCTTGGTTTGCTGCTGGGGTTTTTGAGGAAGGGTCCGTGGGGGTAGAAGCAGACGAACCTGGGAACAAACCCACTGCGTACTGTGCCTAGTCCGTGAATTGGTGAAGAATGGAAATGGCCCAAACGTGCTCTGGAAGAAAGCAAACATGTCTTTTCTGGAGGGCTTTGATTTTTCTGTGTTTAATATATCTACTGATTTTGTATATAGTACACTTGTGGGACATTTATTTGTGTTCACTTGAAATGTGAAAATAAATCCTATTTTCTATGAAAGACTATCTGGCGTCTGGTGGTATTAGGAAGCAGGGTTTATAACTCTAGTATTTGGAGCCAACCTTTACTGAGTTCCCGCACACATGTCTGGGCTATGCTGAGGGCTTCTACTTGGACTATCTCAGTTAATCACTCCAGCAACCAAGGACAGTATTGTTGTCATCCTCAGAGATGAGATGGGCTCAGACAAGCGATCTTAGCACCCACCGCCTGTCCGTGAGCACTGGCTGACTTTCCCCCGCCCCAAAATCCCAGCTCCACTTCTTGGTGACCCCGAGTCTGTTTTCCTCAGCTGCATAATGGGGTAATAGTAATGGGCCCTCATTTTAATACACACTCGAGTGACAGGGATGATGACATTTCCCATGCGCCAGAGTCTTAGAGAAGGATCCGTATTCATCTAAAGTTAGGTATGGAGTTGACTATCCTAGATTTGCCACTTACACTTGGGATTCTAGGTGATTCTGAACTCACCGGGAAGGCAGATTGGGGAGTGGGAGAGCAGGATTCAGAACTCAAACAGCCCCAGAGATGGCACAGTCTGAGCGATAGAATAATCGCATTCTGTTCACAAGGTGAACAGAGTTACTTCACCGGGTTCCCAGAGTCCGATTATGTGTGCTTCCTGTCATTCTGAGGTCACAGTGGCTGGAGTTGGGTCATTTGGAGTCCTGGAGGGTTTCCATGAGGGCAGTTGCCAGAGTTCAGCTGCATGGACCGGGAGCTCAGCTAGCTTAGCAGTTTTTAAACAATTCTCAAGAGCCGTAGGGGTCCTCAGAACAAGGGGGAGACAAGGGACATGGGCCCCTAAGCTCCATTTTCAATCAGATACCCTCTTCCTTATTGAGGCTCTACAAGGGGTTTCATTTGAAGAATGGGATCTTGAGCCCAACAGTAATCAGGATAATGGTGATAATAATTGGTGATTACTCATCCAGTCCAACATTTTACAGATCGGTGAACTGAGGCCCCAAGCGGGGTCACGATGTCACAGGCGACCCTGTGAGAACAGGGGTGTAGTACCTGGGACGCACCAATCCAGAGGGCTCCCTGTAGGGGGCCTCTCCCAATGCCCCTTGGTCCTTCCATCCCCACATACAGAGCTCTTGTGATTTCTGAGGTCAAAGCCACAACTTCTGTCCCTGTGGAGTTTTCTCTTGACCTCTGGGGACTCTAGGGAAGCAGTGATGCCGGTGACAAGTGTGAGCGGCAGCCCCTCGAGTTGCGACCTGCTGGCCCCGTGGTGATTTCTGAGAGTCTCAGGGTCACAGAGCCTGTGGGGCTTGCGTCGTCGACTTCACAGAGCCTTTCCCTTTCCATGAGCGGGGAGTGTGTGTGTGTGTGTGTGTGTGTGTGTGTGTGTCCCTCCATCCAGAGGAGTGCGGTGTGGAGCAGGGGACTGGAATGCAAGAATTGCCTAAACACGGAGTTTCCAGAAGACGGGGCCATTCACTGCACTGGCCAGTTCTCTTCCAAGCACCCCGCCCAAGGGCCTGGACCTGGTCTTACTGGATCAAGCGGGAGCCTGATACACAGGTAAGAGGGTGACTTGCCGGCACGTAGCACCTAATGCACGAAAGAAACGGTGAGTCATACACATGCTGTCGGATGTCATCGTGTGATGCCATGGGAGCACAGGGTGTAAATATCTGGAATATCCTTTTTCTGAGACAACACATGATAAGCTTTTCAAAATGACTTCGCTGAGGTGTGATCTGCACATAAGAGAACTCACACATTTTAAGTGTACAGCTCCATCACTTTTGACAAATTCACACACCGGATTAAGTTCTGGAGCATTTCCATCTCTCTGGAGCCGCCCCTGTGCGCCTTCCCAGGCAGCCGCTGAATCCTGTTACTGTATATGACTCTCGCCTATTCTGGGACTTGGTATAATATGGAGTCATGCAAGATTTGCTTTCTGTGCCTGACTTCCTTCGTGGAGCGTGTGTGAGAACATGGGAGAATTTAACGCACCTCTGGACTCTCGTGTCTTGCTCCATGAAAGGAATGTCTGTGAATGTTTCCCGGGTCTGGTGAGGCTGGAAACAATGCTTCTAGGAATCCTGGGGTGCTGGTAAAGCACGCACATGAGACCTATTGAATACAGATCTCTGTGGGTAGGATGTAGGAATCTGAATTTTAAGATAATAATTCTGAAGTTTGAGAATTTGAGCACAGGCCAGGGTGGGCGACATTCAAAAGGAAACCACTAGACCACTAGCGTCATTGGATACTTCTGGAAACACTTTTTGCTGGAAGCTCTGGGGATCTGGAGCAAGCCCTCCACTTACAAAAGGTGCCTCGTGACTCTTGGATGGTGAGGGCGAGCAACCTGTCCAGCCCAAGCTTTGTGGGCTACTGCTCTTCCACAGGGCTGGCAAACATGGCTTCCCAACGCCACAGCGTAGTGAGGTGCCTTTGAGGGGAGGACCCCTGTGTGGGGGCCTCAGCTCTTCCTTTGTCATCAGGAGGAGGGTCTGGCTTGGGTGGGTCCAGACTGGACAGCATTTCTCAGTGAGTGGCTTCTGGGAATCAAAAGTCAGCTGGGTGTCCGGGCCACTGGAACAGAGTGGGTTGAAAAAGTCTTGGCACCACTGAGCCTCCCAGATCAGTCTCAGCCTTAAGAGGCCGTCCAGAATTATGATGGTATTATTATTATTATAACATTATGACGGTTAATTTTATGTGTCAGTTTGACTGAGCCATGGGGTGCCCAGCCATTTGGTCAAGCATTATTCTGGATGTGTCTGTGAGGGTGTTTCTGGAGGGGATTAACTTTCCAATTGGTAGACTGAGTAAAGCAGATTGCCCTCCTTGGTGTGGGTGGGCCTCATCCAATTGGTTAAAGACCAGAATAGAACCAAAGGCTGAGTAAGAGGAACTCCTCCTACCTAATTGCCGGAGCATCAGCCTTCTGCCTCCCAACCAAAACATCTGCTCTTCTTGGGGCTTGAGTCTGCTGGCTTTTGGACTGGAGCTTACACACATCAGTGCTCCTGGTTTTCAGGCCTTCAGACTTGGACTGGAGCTACACCAACGGCTCTTTGGGGTCCCCAGCTTGCCAACTGCAGATCTTGGAACTCCTCAGCCCCCATAATTGCATGAGCCAATTCCTTATAATAAATCTTGTTCTATATATATATATATATATATATACACACACACTATTGGTTTGGTTTCTCCAAAGAATCCTGGCTCATTTTTTCTTTTCTGCTTATAAAACCAAAATGCGCTTGTAAAAATTCAAATGTTACATAAATATATAATATAGAGAATCTAAATTACCTGTAACCCTATTATATTAATAGTCAGTATGGGTTTCTGCATTTGCTTAGGGTATAGAATGCTGCAAAAAACACTCTTGCCCCAACAACCGAAAAAAGGCGAATAAACTATAAAGTCATGACTTTTCTTGAGTTCATTGGAAAGGCAACTAGGCAATCTGAGTTCTGAGGAGAGAGGACAGCCAAACCATCTCACCTGTGGCAGGAGCACTGCAGAAAGATCCGGCCACAAGACAAGTGAGGAAGATGAAATCCAGTAAAATTTTATTGAATTGTTAAGGCAAAGGACGGACTAATTTGTCTGGAATGGCTGGGGCCCCTCCGCGCAAAGCAAGTTCACATTCACTTTCAGGATCTCTTCCCCAGGCCTCCACTGGATGCTCAGGAGAAGGGCCCGAGACCTGCCTCTCTGCTGAGAGTCTGCAGTGATTTTCAGCTCTTGGCATGAAGCCTTGCTCACTTCCTCAGATGCTCTCCTATGAAGCAAAATTCTGAATCCACTAGGGAAAGGGCCATATTCCCTTCATCCCCAGGAAGAAGTAAAAGCTCATGCTGGCTGGGGGAAAGATAGAAGAGAACATCCTGTAACCCCCTGAGAGGGGCAAGAAGCCATCCAGGGCCCGAGAACCCATTCTGATACCAACCAGAAATCAGCTACCCCTGGAGAAGAACAAAAGTGCACCCAAGACATGCCTAAGACTGAAGCCGGACCAGGATAACATGCCCCTACCCCAAGCTGCGGGACAAGGAAAGGCATGGAGAGGGATACTGTCTATGCTGCCCCAAGCCGGAAGTAAGTGTTGTACAAACACTGAGAAAAAGCCCGCCACACCCCAGCTCCACCCCAAGCCCAGGTGGCTGCTGCTGCAGGAGTCTGCATGTGGGCCTCTGAAGGTAAGGACGGCGACCACAGAACCCATCCCAGCTCAACCCCTGCCTACATCAACTAATTCCCCACGATAGACCCGAAACAAAGAGCAGCATGCCCACTGCCCAGAGCACACACTATACTGCTGTCTCTTCTGTTGTACAAATAACATTCAGCATTCAAGGGAAAAACACTGTTGATAAATAAAGCCATCAACAGAATCAGGCTCAGATATAACCCTCCCAGATGGGGACATTAAAATAACTGTGATTAGTATGTGGAAGTAACTAGCAGGAAAGATGTACAACATGCATGAGCAGATGGGGAGTAATTTTAGCAGAGAGAAATTATAAGAAAGAGTCCAGCGGAGATACTACAAGGAAAAAATATATATATATACCGAAAACGACACCAAAAATGGAGATGTCGGGGGATGAGTTCAACAGTAAAGTCAATACAGTTGAGGAATGTATCTGATTTGCCGAAGGATTATAGATATGACACCAATGGACCATCAACAGAAGAAAGAACAGATAAATTAGACTTCAGTTTAATTAAAATTAAAAATGTTTGTGCCACAGAGAACACCGACAAGAAAGTGAAAACCCACACCATGGGAGAAACTATTTGCTGATGCTAGGATGTAAAATAGTCCAACTGCTTTGGAAAACAGTCTGGCAGTTCCTGGGATGACTGCACACAGAGCTACCAATTCCACTCCGTGGTATGCACCAGAGAGAAATGAACATCTACACAGCGACTTTTATGCAAATGCTTACAGGAGCATTATTGATAATCAAAAGGTGGAAACAACCCAAATGTTCCTCAATGAGCAAATGGATCAAAAGTGGTATATCCACACAGTGGAGTATTATTTGTCTATAAGAAGGAATGAGGTGCTGATCCACGCTACGACCTGGGTGAAGCTTGAAAACATCATACTGAGTGAAAGAAGCCGGTCACAAGAGACCACAAACTATATGATTTCATTCATATGAAATGTTCAGAACAGGAAAATCTATAGAGACGGAAAGTAGATTAGTGGTTACCTAGGCTGAAGGGGTCGGTGTCGGTGGGGGGCTAAGTGGGTGATAGGTAAAATGTATGAGGTTTCTTAATGGGACGATGGAAATCTCCTGAAATGGACTGTTCTGGTGGTTGCATGTATCTGTGCCTAGACTCAAAACCATTGAATCGTGCGCCTTAAATGGATGAATTGTATGACGTGTGAACCATAGCTCAATAAATAGGCTTAAAAATATATATTAGCGAAGTCTCACAATTCTTTGGGTGTATGATCTGTTTTCTCTGGAGTCCTCTCGTTCCTCTGGAAAATGCTGAGATTTGACTTAGTTATGGGAGCGGTGGAGGTGGGTCTTGGGCACAGCCGTTCAAAGCATCTGCCCCAGATGAAGTGCTCAGTGTTTGTAAGCAGAAACACCTGTTCCTCTCTAACACAGAAAGTCGAGCTATTTCCACTCGCAAAGGCGGGGGGATGGGATGACGTGAGGGTTCAAGCTGTTAGCTTCATTTGGGTCCAACCAGATGTCCCCATTACAAATTTTGGGATCCCATTCTTGCCCTTTCACATGAAAAACTTAGGGAGACTATGAATTTAAATGAACTTAAACAATGAATGGAAATTTAATTCAGCAACCTACACAATTAAATGTTGGTTTGGTTTTAAGGGATCTCAGTCTAGTGTCTGTAAGAAATGAGAGAATCTTTTCAGAGTTGTCATGGAAGCTCTCTGGTTCTTGACCAGAACTTAAGCTGAGAATTTGTCATTTTCTTTTGGTAAACAGTCAAGCATGCTCAAAATAATTCATCCCACATCACAGTCCTTATGGTCATCATCACTGCTGTAATAATCAAGTGGGGCAGCCACCTGGCCTCCCAAGGCACATGCCTCTCTCGTCACATAACCACAGGAGATAACGTGATTCATTGTGATGTCACTGCATGCCACGCATTGCTAGTATTCCACTGCCCACTAGCAGGTAGTCCAGCACTGCCTTCAAGCTTGAGGACACAGCCAAACAAATCTCTAAATCCCATCTTTGTGGGGTTATCCCCTATGACCACTGGCCAGTGTTAATTCTATATTGGTCAGGGTCCAAACAGGATAGAGAAACAACACAGTAATTCATACAGGGAAGGTTGAATATAAAATTTATATGCGGGCACAAGAATAGACACATAGATCAGTGCAACAGAATAGAGACTCCAGAAATAAACCCATGCTCTTATGATCAATTAATCTATGACAAAAGAGGCAATAATATACAATAGGGAAAAGACAGTCTCTTTAATAAATTGTCTTGGGAAAACTGGACAGTTACATGCCAAAGAATGAAACTGGACCACTTTCTTACACCATACACAAAAATAAACTCAAAATGGTTGAAAGACCTAAATGTGAGACCTGAAACCATAAAATTCCTAGAATACATAGGTGGTAATTTGACATCAGCTGTAGAAACATTTTTCTAGATACTCTTCCTGAGGCAAGGGAAACAAAAGCGAAATTAAACTATTGGGACTACACCAAAATAAAATACTTTTGCACAGCAAAGGAAACCATCAACAAAACAAAAGGCAACCTACTGAGTGGGAGAAGATATTTGCAAATGATGTGTCCAATAAGGGGTTAGTATCCAAAATATATAAAGAACTTCTACAACTCAACACCAAAAAACCTTAATCCAATTAAAAAA